TCCTACAGTGCATCAGGTCTTCTGTTATTACTGTGCAATGCATCGAATCTGTTCTTGAGGTATTCTTGAAATTCACGTGCGATCGACTTAAGGTCGTATTCTGGCTCTCATGGATTTGTTTTATCTTTGGCTTTATCCTGAATGAACAATTGACAATCTGTTCCACGATCAGCCTCTCTCCTGGTTTTAGCTGCTATTGAACTTCTCCATCATGTGTTCCTACAGATGTAGTCAATTTCTTTTCTGTGGATTCCATCTGGGTAGGATGAAACATACAATTTTCCTCTAGTTCTTGAATATTTCCTTCCCCCACTATCATGATCCCAATTCTACCTTGCAAATCCGGCTGGACTGGAGGATGTACACTGGTACAGGCGGGAACTGGAGATACAGGGAATCCAGGACAGATGATCCCATCAGGACCAGTGGTGAGAGTGTTTCCATTCTTTAGGCCTTCAGAATCGGACAACTTTCAAAGCTATGCAGAAGGCTTTGCAGCTGCTCCTTCATCTAACGTGGGGAGCTGAGTCCTTCTTTGCTGTCTGTTCTGAGCCTGAAAGCTAAGCTCTGCTGAAACTTGTTCATTTTGGGTGACCCTGTTGACAATTGAAATGCCAATGACTTAGTGACCAGCATCGCAGCAAGTCACAAGCCACCACAGTGTGACACACTAACAGACAAGAGGGGGGTATGACAAGTAGAGCCTATTTAAAAAGGGTGTTGCATTAAATGCATGCTTTATACAACTCTCTGCTTCCATCCTTCTGTACCATAAATATCAACCTTTATTGAGCATATAATATTTATCAAACACTGAGTTCATTCTTTTGCTATATTATTGAAGTTAAAGAGCCCCATTTTAAAGCTGAGGCATAATCATATTAAATAATTTTCCCCAGTTACAATAAATGTATTGTACCATTGGGATTTAAACCAATAGTCTAGGATTTTATTATCCAGGCCACATAGCTTCTGAAGTTTAGAACTCTGCCTCTTTGTCATAGAAAACAGGCCTATTACTTCTTTCTGCTCCAGCCTGGGGAAGATGCTTCCCTCTTGAACTGCTCGTGAGTCTTTCCATGTAACTCTCTAAACAACAAATCCCTTGCATAGAGGTATGTATGTGTGTCTGTATTTTGCATCTTCAATTTGTTAAATGATGACTTGTATATGTATTTTGCATCACTCATCCATTCAATAATGGACTGATGAAACGCCTGTTATTTTGGTTTAAAGTTTGAGGATGTCCTACAGGGGCGGATGGTAGCACTCTTGATAAGAAGAACTCCTGGTTTGAAATAATTTTTCTAAATTATTCCTTGAGATTGGAATTTCGTTTTGGATTCTATTACACAAATGTAAACATACACACAGATCAGAATTGTTAAAAAGCAAATGGCTAAAAACTCATCAAACATGAAACATTTTCTGAAACTACGAATCAGTTGTTACGGTCTTGTCAGAAGTACAGCCAGCACGCTCCCTAGAGGCCAAGGTTGGGAGACGTGGCCTCACATCCTCTGGACATGGTGACAGGAGAGACCAGGCCCTGGAGAAGGACAGCAGGGCAGGTGAAGCAGCAGGGCAGTGCAGGAGAGGATGGCTTTCGATGGATGGAGCGACACAGTGGCTGCACCAAGGGGCTCCCACGTAATGAGCGGGGCCAGGACAGGGCAGTGCTTCCTTGCGTTACAGGTACATAGAGTCTCTTGGGATCAGAATTGAGTCGAGGTCACCAAACACTTGTGATGACACCAGGTAGATGAGCAATATTTTATACCTCAGGCACGGATCAAGACGGCGGCACACTTAGGCGAGTTCATCCTTGGGCTCCGTGGTGACTCTGCAGCCTTACGAGACATTTACTCCATCTGGTTTTCTATATAAAATTGTTGTTTATGTCAACTTGGTTTTAGTGGGTTGCTTTCTTTGATTTGTAAGCAAATCGAGGAAACTTTTTGCTTTCTTTGATTTTAAAGAATTTTAAAACTTTGTATCTGGCTCTAAGTGAATGTTCCAAAATGTCTGAATCCAAAATATCAAGGTTTCCAACACTGATTTATTGATAAAGCCTGTGGGTCCTCAGGTGGGTTCCATGGGGTTGTACTGAATTTTAATCAGTTTGACTTTAACAAGTCTCCTGCCCTTTAAAACGTTTTAACCGTGGGATTGACATTTTGGTTTCTCCACATTTTCATAATTTTTCAGTTGACTGTATACAGAGTCCTGGTGGTGTAGTGGGTATGCTTTAGGTTTCTAACCGCAAGGTCAGCTGTTCAAAACCACCAGCAGCTTTGTGGGAGAAAGACAGGTTTTCTCCTCTTATAAAGAGCTGGTCTTGCATTAGGCCTTGACTCAAGTACTCCCTCAACACAAGAACACTTTGTTCTAATAATCCGGCATTCTGTGATGCTCACCTTCCTGACAGGATCACTGAAGACAAAATGGGTGCATAAGAAAATGTGGTGAATAAAGCTGATGGTGCCCACCTATCAAAATATAGAGCCTCTGGGGTCTTAAAGGCTTGAAGATAAACAAGTGATAAACATCTATCTCAGAAGCAACAAAGCCCACATGGAACAAGCACACCAGCCTGTGTGATCGTGAGGTGTCGATGGGATGGGATCAGGTATCTAAGACCCAAGACAAAATCATACCCACTATGGATGGGCATTGGGGGTAGGGTGAGAGTGGAGTGGAGACCTAAAGCCCATATGTAGACAACTGGAGAGCCCCTCACAGAAGGGTCACAAGGAAGAGATGAGCCAGTCAGGATGCAGTATAGCACCAATGAAACACACAATTTTCCTCTAGTTCCTTAATGCTTCCTTCCCCCCGCTAGTATTACCTCAATTCTACCTTACAAATCGAATTAGACCAGAACATGCACACTGCTACAGATAAGAGCCCACAACACAGGGGACCCAGGCTAGATAAACCCCTCAGGGCCCACAATGAGAATAGAGCTACCAGGAGAATTAGGGGAAGGTGGAGGGAGAAAGGGGGAATCAATCACAAGGATCAACATATAACCCCCTCTCTGGGGGGTGAACAACAGAAAAGTGGGTCAAGGGTGTCAGAGGACGATTTAAGGTGTGAAAACAATAATCTATACTTATCAAGGATTTATGAGGGACGGCGGGTGGAGGAGGGAGGGGGAAAAATGAGGAGCTGATATCAAGGGCTAAGTAGAAAGAAAACGCTTTGAAAATGGTGATGGTACAAATGTGCTTGACACAATGGATGCTTATATGGATCGTGATAAGAGATATGAGCCCCCAATAAAAAGTATTTAATTGAAATAAATAATGGGAAACTTAAGGGAAAAAAACATAGTTGGTCTTGGAAACTTAGAGGCAGGCCTACCCTGCTCTCTAAGGTCACTGTAAGCTTGACAGTGAGTTTAGTTTGGAATCTTTTAAGCTCATATTTAAGCAGTTCCTTCATGAAGAAAATGTATAAAAGCTTTGTAGGAATGACATATGTTTTTATTTCTGTGAAGTGTATTAATATTTTAACAGTAGAATACAGGGCTGAGAAACACTATTTTTTCCTCTTAATAATTTGGGGTAATGTTGTGCGATCACCATCCTCAAAGAAATGTTACCCTATTCATTTGCAAAGGGAAAGGGAGGACTACTTTAAAAGCTCAAAACTAGTAGCAATGGATTATTTTTAGTCAGTGGTCCCTTTCATGGATATTTTTAAATTTTTTATTAATCAATTTATTGGGGCTCATACAATTCATCACAATACATAGATCAATTGTGTAAAGCACATCTATACATTTGTTGCCCTCATCATTCCCAAAATTCTCTTGCCTCTTGGGTTCCCGGAATCCGCTCATTTTCCTTTTTTTTTTTTTCCCCCTCCCCTCCCCTCTCCCCCATGCACCCTTAATAATTTATAAATTATTATTGTATCTTATATTACACTGTCCGGCGCCTCCCTTCACCCACCCCGCTGCTGCCCGTCCCCCAGAGAGGAGGCCATATGTGGCTCCCTGTGATCCATTCCCCCTTACTACCTCCCCTTTCCCTCCTGGTATCGCCACTGTCACCCCCGGTCCTGAGAGGCTCCTCCGTCCTAGATTCCCTGCGCTTCCAACTCCCATCTGTACCGCTGTCGGATTGCTTGTCTTTTGCATCCTGGGACTGTGTTCTTTACTGTCGTCAATGAGACCTAGTGACCGAAATTCAGATGCCTTACGGTCCCTGGAGGAAGGCTGTGGTTCCATCACATAATGAAGAGGAGGACCACAAGGACAATCACATCGAGTTAATATTTGCGGAAGTAACTGTACGTCAATCCCTGTGCAAACAGCTTTCCATGCATGATCTCATTCCCCATAGCAATCACTCGCTTATGTCTGACAATTCTGTCTCCCAATTTACAGATGAGGAAATGGAAACTTCGTGAGATTACCCAAGGTCCTCTAGGCCTCAAATGGTTCATGAACTTAAGACTGGAGGCTGCCTACCTTTAAGGTTAAAGCCGGTCACCTCAATGCTACAAAATCTCCTCGTTCTGGAATGAAGGGCTCTCCTTTCTTAGGCCTCGCCCACCCACCCATCTCTCCTCAATTCCTGAGTCATAAGTGACGTAGTTACATCAGTATTCTGCTAGCCAGGCACAACCTCTGATGAACACCTGCTATTCACACCATTCTAGGACAGCATATGTTCAAAGTGGAGGCTCCCTTTCCTTCTCCTAAATATAAGTAGCATATTTCTCGGCTTCTTCACAGGTCTACAGAAAGAACTTCTCTTTATATTTTACATCAATATAATGCCACTCCTAGATCCTCTTATTTCTGTATTAAAAAAAAATCCTTGGGAAGCTCTCTGACATGAAAACAGGGGATACTGTAACTGGATTTTCCTCTCTTCAGAAAAGGCCCGCGTAAAGCAAATTGATTTCACGTACTTCTACTTTATAGGAGGGGAGGATATTTCCATCACCCCAAAGACATCTAATGATGAAATCTACACAGCCAGGTCTATATTTTGTTAACACTTTTATTGCTACGTGCTCCCAATACAACAAACAGCATCAGTAGTGTACACTTTGATAACAAGGAATTTGAGCTTAGTAGATGAGAAAACTTCAAGGTCAGAGTTGTAACAAATATGTACGTCTTTCCGGAGGTGTATGTGGGTGACCCTCTTTCTTTACACTGACTTCCCTGTGGTATGGTCTGCACACTCAAGCAAACTAGCGAGGATTTCATTCTGGGGACATTTTTAGAAAAAAACAAACAAACTTCTCTTCAAGGTTCATGGATTGTCGCACCATCTGAAACTAACTGAATTTATTGGCTCTCCAAAATTTTGCACCAAGTAGCAGCGATTCTTTAGAGGTATCAAGTCAGTAGGTCAGGTGATTCGTGTGTAATCTTTAAAAGTTCTTGCACACGATGTGCTCTGGTGGGGTCAACAGACTTACATCTTAGTTTGTAGAATACATTTTAACAAATCAGGTCCTGAGCCCCAAAAGATAATGCTGACAACGCATATATTTCTTTTTGTTGGAGTGCAATTCCTGAAGTACTCATCTCTTCCACAATTACTTTTAAACATTATCTAAATTCCTATTTCATTAAACAGCAAGCTATCTGAGCCCATATTCTTTTATATTTCCAAAAAGGGGGAAAAGTCATCAACTTTGTGTCTACTTTCAAAATCGAAAGGGCTTACAAAACAGTGCAGCTTCTCCATACGAACTCCTTGATTTGGCTGCTGTCACTCGCTTAAACGTCTCCTCTGTGCACAGAACAAAGCATGCATCTCTAAATATGTCTCTCTAGTTTACCAAAATAGGCCATTGATATTAGTGTAAATATTTAGTACATAAAAATACTATCCAAATAATCAACTTTTAATAAATATCTTCGGGTCTGGATCCTATATACAAGTACTTTACATCTGCTCCCGGGAGAGGGCATTTCTGGCTTCACTCTGAGCAAGAGGATCACCGACATCAATGACTAGCGTGTGACTGCAGTCAGATGCATTGTGGTTGTGAACATTTAGATATCAACCATGTGGACAAGAAATATCCCAACTTCTGAGAAATGCTTTCTTGGACCTACTTTCAAAGCCCCACGCCTTCCTAGAGTGTCATGGATGCTTTTCTCAGCTACCAACCAACGAGTTGTCACCCAACCTTTTTTCCCTTGTGATAACTGCAGTGCAATGTATATAAATGTTTATATAGATCAATAAAGGGAACATAAGAAACAACACAAGAACACAGGGCATCTCTGGGGTACCTAGTGAGGCCCTGATAAGAATGGTCCAGTTCTGTCTTGCACAGTTTTTCACTATGTCCTTTGTTCCCTGCGATTACAAGGACACGGACACCCATCCTACTACTCTTAATTTCAAGAGTAGAAAGCCATAGGTAGCTCAAATCGATACATCTGTAGCTTATGTATTTTTGTTTCCCTCTAGTTTAGGAATCACATTGTTGATTCAACAGCACCCTATAATAAAACCTTTTGCATTGTCTGTAGCTGTAATTCAAACTTCTTCTCTGCAATATTATGGTGTGAAAATCAACTCATAGAAAGTCAAATAAGGCAATACTCAATGACAGGCACCAAGAACATCCAGAAATGTAATATAGTAAACAATCATTTGAAAACACACCTCTTAAAATAATACTGATTTCTGCAATATACATTATTTACACAACAGCTGCAGATCTGCTTGTACAATATTTCTAATATAGATAAATACAAATATACGTCTAAGGATTCCTTGCTCCCAAAATATCTTGTAAAAGTGTAAACTGTTGGCACGTCTTTTAAATATTTACTGTAACTTTTTAAAAACAAAAACCAGCGGATCGGCATAATTGGTTCTAGTCCATTTCCCTTTAGCGAGTGGCCAACACAGTTTGCAGTACATTTTCCTCCTGCTCATACTCTTTGGTGCTTTCTCCCAATGAATTCTGGCACATGAGCCCATGGACAACAAGAGGAGGAAAGCCACACGAAAGTGAACCAGCACTTTTTGTTCTTGCACACAGAGACAGCAGCAGGGGTGACCTCTGGCGAGAGCCACTTTGCACAAGCTGCATGCACCATGAAAAGAAGGGGCGTGGTCCAGGTGTGCCTCTGATGGCTTTCACATTCATTGTCTCATCTTCCCAGGGTGGATGACCGTAGAGGACGTCTCTTGTCAATAACTTTTTCATTTCTCCTTGAGGTTCTTCTTGGAGAAGAAGCACTCATGGAATCGTTGACTGCCAGGAAGGGAGAAGCAGCTATTTGTGAAGATGAACTGAGGTGGCGGTTCTTGGTGGCGGGGGAGGCAATTCTCAGGGTCTTGCTTCCCGCTGGCTGAGCACCATCGAGTTTACTGTTTGGTCGGAAAGCAGCATATGCATTGGACTCTTGCCCTGCTGAGATCCTACTCAACACTTTCTTCTTCTCAGCAGGCGTCTCTGAATGGTAAGGAATCAAAGATGTTGGCATCACTAGAGATTCTGGGAAGTCGGTGGGGTTAAAGATAGCACCATCTTGAGTTTCAGCAGCTTCTGGGAGGTCAGGTGGTGGCAGCGTGCCACCGCGCTTGCTACATGACTCACAACATAGCTTATTATAACCTGGGATGGAGCAGTAGCGCGCCAGCACCTCCATTTGACAGAATATCGACTTGTCTCCCAAACATGGTTCATCTGGAAAACGTTAAAATAAAATAAATCAATACATATAACTAAATACAAGATAAAATGCTTTAAGTATCACCTGGCAGTAATAATAGTCGTCCACCTCAGCCAATGTATTAAAAAGATATATTGAAGGAACAATTCACTGATGTGAGAAGTTCTCTATGCACCCATGACTCGGGGGGAGCACCTTTCTAATCTCCATCAGGACTCAGCAGACCACAGAGAACGTGTCCTCCCCCTGGAAGGACCATGCCTGACCTCGGAACAAGAAAAGAGGATTCCTTTTACCACAACATTCTTAGGGATAAATGTGGTTTTGTCTTTTGTGATGTTCCTAGTTTTCAAATTGGATAGCTACTCCATTCAGTGTATAGTTAAAATCAAAACAATATACCAAAGATCTGTTAGAACAAAATAAATTAAATATATATATTAAGGGGAAAACAAAGAAGCTGTCTTGATTGGCTAATTTGAATGTACTGTTGCATATGTATCATTGACCATTTTCAGAGTATTTGAAAACATCAGCTATAGTAAAGGGTACCCATTTTTGTAGGAGCAATTTATAGTTCTTCACACTTACATTTAATTTCACTAAGTTAACAACCTTTTTAAAGGGACACATAGTAGCACTCATAATACGACTGCTATATTTTAGTGATTGTGTGTGCGCGCATATCCTTCCCTGCCCCACCCCCCACCCCAGTGTTATTAGTTTGGAGGCTCTAAGAACTCATCATCTCATCACTACGTTGAATTGATCCTGACTCATAGCAACCCCCTAGGGCAGCAGAGCAGAACTGCTCCTGTGGGTTTCCAGGCTATAACTCTTTAAAGGAGAAAAACACTTCATGTTTCTCCCTTTGAGCAGCTGGAGGTTTCAAACTGCTGACCTGGTGGTGGCAGCTCAGCATGTAACCACTAGGCTACCAGGGCTCCACTGTTCAGAAAATACAAATATTAAGTTCATGGCAGTATTGTTTTGAGCTTATTTTCAGGGTACTCTTTTCCATGCAAATGCATATAAGGGCCATCATTGGAGCTGTGTATCAGAGAAATACTGATCTGATGGTTATTTCACAAAGCAAAAGAATGATAAATGATGGCATTCATGGAATACAGCATTTCAAATACAATATATTATTATTTCTTACTATCACGTAAGAAACCTGCTATGAAGTTACCAAAGGAGCAAAAGAATAATTTTTTTCTAATATTTTCAGTAAAAACAAACAAATATCTGAGAGTCAGTGGGCAAGGAAAAATGAAGTACGATAATTACAATTTTGTCAGAGTTATAACACAATATTCATTTTCCATATTGTAGAATGACTCACATTTTCTTGACATCTACTTATCTCTTTAGTATTACATGCTTCAGTATTTCACACTGGTTAACCATCTATATGGAGAATGCTTTACAATCACATTGATGAACATTACCTTCAAATAGCAACTTTACATCATATTTAAATTATTTTGCCTACGACTCTGTCTTAAAATAAGACAGTGTCTTCTTCCTACTGATTGCAGTTTCTAACCTCAGTATTGGAGAACCTTATTTGAGCCTCTGATTCCTGATCTCCATCCCTGCACACTGCTTAGCTGAAACACAGAGCTGATTCCGAGTTAAAGCAAGCGCTCCCCTGAGAGACTCCAGCATCTCAGGAAGTGAGCTTGGAGGCTCTGCCGAGGAAGGAGCCCTGCCGGGTCTCATGAGGGCCCGGATATTCTGCACTAGTGTGTGCAGAAGACAGGAGGGTAGGGAAAGGTGTAGAGAAAAAACAGCGAAGAAGAAAGGTAGACATTGGTTTTATGGTCATCTGCCTGGGGATAAAATAAGGTGGTGACATGAAGTCCTATGGCAAAAGCAGTCATTACAACTAAGGGAGTGGTTAGCCTGCCGGCTCCACCTCTAGATCATCATGGCAGGACAAATAGAGGACCACAGAGTCAGCAGTACAAAAACATCAGGCACCTTACAGGAGGAAAATGAGGGTTCTACTGTCATAATGATTTCCAGTCTTGGCATCTCACAGCTGCGGTTCTACTTCCTATGAGTGGGAAATGACTCATGGTGATGAGTTAGAGGAGGAAACGTGAATATGGCGTTATGGACATATGACACTTGCCACATTAGCATTATGATGTCACAATTACAAATTAACCCCCGGGGGTTAAGGAGGATAAGAAAGTATATATTGACAATGGTGTACATCTGCAAGGTTCTACAGAGAGTAGCAGTTTACAAAGTGTTTAGCGTCGCGGTGTGGAGGACTACACTGGGTGAAGTACTACAGTGGTAGCAAACATTGCTGTTGCTAACAGGTGACCTCTGCTCTTTCTCTTTAAATGTCAGTGCTGAGAGTGGCCATACTGGGAGGGTGGAGGGAAGGTGGGGTAGAGAGGGGGAACCAATTACTAGGATCTATATATAACCTCCTCCTGGGGGATGGACAACAGAAAAGTGGGTGAAGGGAGGCGTTGGATAGTGTAAGACATGACAAAATAATAATAATTTATAAATTATCAAGGGTTCATGAGGGAGGAAGAAGCGGGGAGGGATGGGGAAAAGGAGGAGATGATATTAAGGACTCAAGTAGAAAGCAAATGTTTTGAGGATGATGGTAACAAATGTACAAATGTGCTTGACACAATGTATGTATGGATGGATGGATTGTGATAAGAATTGTACGAGCCCCCAATAAAATGATTTAAAAAAAAGAATAATTTGCAAATGTTTCTAATGTACATGGTTATCCATAGTTTGGAAGAAAACTTTATTCCTCATTTCTAACTCCCAACAATCATAACTCTGAAATTGTTGCTCACAAAATGAAAATTTATAAAAACATTACATGATGAAAGTATGTTCATGGGGGGAGGAAGGGGAACCTATCACAATGATTGACATATAACCTCCTCCCAGGGGGACGAACAACAGAAAAGTGGGTGAAGGGAGACAGCAATTGGTGTAAGACATGAAAAAAATAATAATTTACAAATTATCAAAGGTTCATGATAATTTACAAATTATCATGAGGGAGGGAGAGTGGGGAGAAAGGGAAAAAATGAACTGGACTCAAGTAGAAAGAAATGTTTGAAAACTATAATGACAACATATGTACAAATATGCTTGACCCAATGAATGTATGTATGGATTGTGATAAGAGCTGTAGAGCACCCAATAAAATGATTTTAAAAAGAAAAAAAAATTACTTGTCAAAGTAAAACTCTCAACTACAGCAGTGCTTTGTCTCCCTCTTGTGGTCCCATTTGTCCTTGCTCTAACACATTTCTAGTTCATAAGGTTTCAAATACTTCAAGTCTGAACATTGTCGACAAAGAAAACAATTGCTAAAATAGTTACATGACAATATTCTGAATTGAAGGAAAGGAAAATTTCACGTAGCTGTTGTTGATATTCCATCGATGGCTTCCTTGTGGTGTTAACTATTTTTAAAAAATGTGAAAAGAAAATGCAACTTGTTTAGCTCAAAGTCCCACCAGTGAGGTAAAGCCATGCCCAGAGTTGTCACGAGGCTGAACTAGGGGCAAAAGGGACAACGGGGTGTACGAGAGTGTGCCCTGCAGGCAAGGGCAAAAGGACAAGTGTGACAGGGCACAGGAGGGAGGCCGACAGAGGAGAGAGAAAAGGAACTGGGTAAAGATAGAGTGGAAAGGAAAGCCAAGAGGCGAAGGAGGGATGCAGGCAGGAGGAGAGAGAGAGGGGTCAAGAAGCCAGGAGAAAGCAGGGGGTGCGGTACGAGGGAGAGAAGGTGAGACAGAGAAGTCAGACATGTTTACATTGAACACTTTTAGTAAAATGTTTCCAAACCTCCAGTAATAGCATACCTTCTACTATGCTTGGAGGGTCTATTGAAATGTGGAACAGAGAAAAGAGTTGGAAGCCCCCGGTAAAGCGGAAACTGTCAGAAGTGGCATGGCTGGTGGCCTAGCATTATCGCATAGGAGGGCAGAGGCGCAGATGCAGCCGTCAGCGTAATTAGCTGGTGTGAGACGTCGTCTCCGACACCATCTCGAAGAACTGTAGATTTGGGGGGAGACTGCATTATTGTTCAATGTTGCACTGTATAATTTGCTGATGTTACCATTCTCAGAAGTTTCCAACCCCCAATGACAAACATAGGCCCGATATATATAAGGACAGTGAAAATAAAAGGAAGATTAATGGGGGTGGGGGTGGGCGGGGGCGGGAAGAACTGTGTTAAGCTAGTATTCGAAGATGTTTTCTTTTGGATATTTCTTAAGAGGCCATTTTAAACTCCAGGCTTCACTTTGAAAGAAATGAAAAAAAATTTATTTTATTCTTTTAAGGACTAAAAAACACCAGGGAAAGACATCAGCGTCACACGTACCGTTACAAGGAGGCAGCTGACAGACTCTGGCGGACTCCGGCTTTTCCCCATCGCACTGGTCTCCAGCCCTGCAGATGACCTGCCGCGCCTCCGTTCCTTCCCCGCAGGTGACTGAACACTAGGGCAACAATGGCAGCGATTATGGACTGTGGATTACAGAGACCAGGCTTTTCCATCCAGTGTCTTGCCTGTGCACACACATGCATGCTTGGACACACACACACACACACACACATGCACACAACTCCAGAAGTGATGTTGCACAGTGGTAATTGAGATAAATCCTTGGGTTCACATTCTACTTCTATTATTTACCAGTCTGCCATGATCCATTTTTTCTCATCTGTAGACAGTTGTTAAGTGCCCTTGAGATGGTTGTAACTCATAGCAACCCAATGTCCCACAGGACACAACAAGGACCAGTCTTCGGTCACTCTCCCCATCACTGCTGGGTTGGAGTCCATTGCTGCAGCTACTGTGTGAATGCATCTCATTGGAGGTCAACTTTTTCACTACCGTGGCTTTACCTACCACGGAGTCCTTCTCTAGGAACTGGTCTCTCCTGATAACATGTCCAAAGTATCCTCTCTAGTCTCAGTTCTCAGGAGCATTCTGGCTGTACTTCTTCCAAGACAGATTTGCTCACTCTTCTGGGAGCTCATCTTGTATTCAATATTCTTTGCCAACACCATGATTCCAAGACAGAAGGCCATTGCTCTTAATTATTCATTGCTTTAACATGCATATAAAGTGATTGAAAAAAATCATGGCTTGGGTCAGTGGCAACTTTGTCCTCAAAGTGGCACATTTGCTCTTCAGTGCTCGAAAGAGGTCATTTGTAATAGATTGGCTACAATGCAATACATGGTCTCTTGACTGCTGCTTTCAGGGTCATTGGTCATGGAAGCAGGTAAAATGAAATCCTTGAGAACTTTAATATTTTCTCTATCATGATGTTATTTACGGGTCCAATTGTGAGCATTTTTGTTGTCTTCAGGATGAGATACTCCACAGGAAAGGCTGTCTTCTTTGATCTTCACTAGTAAGTGCTGCAAGCCCTCTTCACCGTCAGAGAGCAGGGCTGGGTCATCTGCACAGCACAGGGTTTCGATGTCTTCCTTCCGTCCGGATGCCTCAGTCTTCTTCATATAATCCATTCTTAGATTATTTGCTCAGATCTGAAGAACTAGGATAATAAATAACATGAAGGGGGGATTTAAAAAGTTTTTGAAAAATGTTTTGAAAGAAAACGGAATTATTCAACTAATTTTTAAAGCCCCCTTCTACTGTCTCGGAGGATGGTTAAAATACTAAAAGAGGGCAAAGAAGGTAATATACGTAAAGCAGTGAGCAAAGTGTCTGGTAATTAATAAGCATTGGATGTGAACGAGGTCACCGGTTTGATACCACTAATTTCTGCTACCAAAGAACTGATGCATGTGAGTTATGGTTCTGGTGAAGAATGCAATGGGCCGCCAGAAGGATGGACAGATCTGTTTTTGAAGAAGAACCACAGCTAGATGGTTCTTTCGAAGTCCAGACGACAAGACTTTGTCCACTTTCGGCATGTTACTGGGAGGGACCAGTACCCGAAGAAAGATCTGAGCAGAGAGGATTGACCAAAAAGATGAAGATCTTCATCTGGATGAGTTGACACAGAGATGGCAACGATGGGCTCCAACAGCAAAGATGTAAGGATGGTGGCAAGACTGGGCGATGTGTTGTTCTGTTGTACATTGATCAGAACTAAGTGGACTGCATCGAAGAATAATTGTTTCTGAAGCGAGTCAACATGTCTGATGTGAAGAAGCCAAGACCGTATGGGGTTTTACACCCTCCTCTTCCTTGCAGATGGCGGCACTTACTGACTTCCGCCCTTGCTTCATGGAACGTTTTGTGAACTGCTGCTTCTGTGTTGCCATAAATGTGTCTCTTTAATGAAAGTCTTCATGCTTTAAATTCAGCCCAGAAAATGCCATGCTATTTTCTTAAGTAGAAGCTATGGATAGAGGCCTGTGTTCTAGGACTCTAAGACTCTCTATTGGGACAAGCTTCCTATTTGTGACGCTGTATAGAGGACCTTCATTCACCTGATTCTTCCTGGGTTTGCTTTTCCCTTCTGCATGCCTTCTCTACCTGCTCTCGGTGCCCTTTCCTCCCACAAATGTTCCTCCTGGGACTCAATGAGTCATTGAGCATTGCCACATACATAACATGGATACTATTATATCTTTAATATGTGAAAGAAACATCAAAGAAATACAGGCAAATAGTCCATTCAGTTAGTCAATCGCTAAACAGGCATCATCTGATTTAGGAACCCTACTCCATCCATTGCCAAAGACACTGTACTACTTTGCCATCAACATCATACTGGGTGAAATTGCCTTTGGAAGGAAATCTTGATTTTCAGCCCCAGGTGCTTAATATTTACAACAAGAGGCAATTTCTGAATACCCATAAAGGCTACGTGATGTTTGAAAAATACAATATGCTAAACAAATACTTATATATAAACACCGAGAGAGAATTCACACACTCACCTCATTCCAGGGCCCTGTTTTCCACTGGGCGGGGCAGGGCCCTCTGTTACAAGGCCGGCGGCTCTCGGGACGGTCTCCCACACAGTACTTGCTGTGCACCGAGCGCTGGGTGCCGTCGTGGAGGGGCTGCAGGCAGCGCACCGTGCGCAGCTGGTAGCCAGAACTCCCGCAGGACCTGGTGCAATGCTCCCAGTCGCCTGCGATCCAGCTGTGGGATGCGGGGTCAGAGGGAACCAGGTCATTAGTAGATGCCTGTCTGCCAGGGCAGCCTAGTCATTTCTACTCTTGGAAAGGCGTGCAGTGTCAGGTGCCTGGCGCAGCTCCGGAAGCAGTTTCCGAAAGATGGAGGCGACAAGAAATTCAAAGGTCTGAGGGCTTCCTCATAAAAAGAGACCTGGCACTTTCACGGGGAGGCTTCAAAAAATTCATGGAAAAAATGTCATTTTCACTTAAATCAATTTTCCCACAAATCATTTGAAGCTCTCTTGTGGCTTTCGTGCCCTCCTCTCTGGCTGGAGCCCTGGTAGTGTGGTGGGTACACGTGGGGCTGAGATCTGCAAGGTCGGCAGTTAGAAACCAGAGCTGCTCGGAGGGAGAAGGATGAGGCTTTCTACTCCGTAATCACTCACAGTCTTGGAAACCCACAGGAATATCAATAAATTGGGTGTTTGGTTTTTGAGGCAGGTGTTCTTGTTTTTCTCTCTCTCAGTTACTCTGGAGTTTTCTCCTTTCCTAATGGATGGTTTGTAAAACGATTTCTGAAGCTTCTCATCAGAATCAGACTACCCTGGCCCTCTTCGGCTTGGTTGGAAATAGCACCAACTTGCTCTTAGACATATTGTTTAACGCTGCTGAATAGATGCGAAAGGAAATGATAAGAAACGCGTCTGATGGTTCTTTAAATAACTGATCTGGCTGCTGCTACTTTCTTTTTCCTTTTATTTTATCATGAACCTATAGAACTTACTCATAATTTGAGCTTTCAATTGGTTCATTTCTACTACTACTATGTCTGTTACTACTACCCGAAATATCAATTCAGTTTGAAAAAAATGAGATGTCTCGATCATATGCTTGACAACGGAGTAAAGGCTGTATGTATTTGAGATGGGGCCAAAACTGGTGTCAGCATTCGTTTCAAGGAGATATGTTCAATAAAAGATTTCACATGGGAAAATGCTTAATTCTAATGTCAAAATCAGTGCTCAGAACATGATACAAATCAGCTATAGACTTAGCATTTCCATTACATCTGTTTAGTGGGTCCTAATGGGCTATTACATTGTGGATTCTACTTTGCTGAGTAATTAGTCTGGAGTATAAGTGAGGAGTATGTTTTGTCCTTTCCAGAGTTATTTTTCTCCTGTAGTTCCCCCCTTACCCCCCAACCCCCATCCGAGGGCATCAAAGTATAACTACGCGAAAACCTTGGTAGTCTTTGAAAGTCACAGTTTCAAAGTGCTCATCGCTTAGCAAACTGGCAAAGGGATATATTGTGGGAACTGAAATACGGTGTTTTCTTCCTTTTGCGGGTTTCACTCACACGTGGCTCTCTTCTGACGATAAATATATGTGAGGAGTACGCCCTAACCTGGAAATCAAGAGGAAAAACTGCATGAACCCACGGGAGCAAAGAAGACTAGGGAGGAAGCCACAACAGCACAGTTCTGGAGTGGAGACAGCAGTGCGACGAAGTCCGCAGTCCTAGGACGGTCTTATACCATTAGTCTACAGTACAAGCTGATAAGCACTGACCTGCCCTACGGAAAGTCAGAGATGTCCAGAGATTGGTGCTCAGCTACCTGGGAAAGAGTAGGTGAAACAGGGTGACTAATGAGAGGTCTTTGGGGTAGCAGTGAGACACATTGATCCTTTACCCCACAAGAGTGCCTGAGTTTTATCCTATGTAAGATTTAAACAAAACTTTTTAAGGGGGACAGGGAGCATGGTCATAAGACATAAGGCTATTATGAAAACAGGCTTATGATAGATTGAAATGAAGGGAGGCAGTTATTTTGCGTAGCTCACTGTTGGAATGGTGACATGACCTTAGCTTAGAACATACTATTTCTGGAAGCGCTATAAAGCAGGCTTGTGTTCCTTTAAACATTCTTTACTGATTTTTTTTCCTATGAAATCTTAACCTTCCATTTGAATTGCGCATATACTATTGAGTTCTTTTATTGAAATGGCCAAGCTCAACCATGCTACATGGAAGCCTATGAACTTACAAGTTTCAAACATCCTTCCAGTCAGTGTTTTAAATACTGTATTTGGTTATACCTGTACATCACAAAGGATCACCTGACACATAGAGACTAACACAACCTTAAAGAGGAAAGGAGTAGGGAAATATAACAAAAAATGTATGGAATTAAAAATAGTGTTTAATATACTAAAATAGTTATATGTGTGCATACATAAGTATACACACACACACACACACACACATGAAAATACAGATCAGAAGTAAAAATCAAAGGACTTGGAAAGGAAATAAGTCTAAGACGCTGCTATCATGTTCCAAAAGAAAAGAACATGATTCTGTATATGAAATCTAGGATAGGTATACTTATAGAGATGGTGATTGGATTAATGGTTCTTTGGGAATACGGCATGGTTGTTGGGTGGAAATAGGGAGCTAATAGCCACAAGAACAAGGATGAAGAAAATGTGCTAAAAAGGCTGTGGTGGTGAGTAGACAGCTCTTCTTGATATGACTGGGCTACGAAATTGTATAATATGTGAACTATGTGCCAACACACCTGTTGGAAAAAGAAAAGAGCATGAAAACAGAACACAATGATTCAAAGTCAAAGAAGGGCATGCCTAAAAAATCTGAGGTTATCAGATTAAATCTGAGGTGTAAAATGAAAAAGGTCTATAAAGTACACAATATAAGGGCTCCTAAGAGATAAACAGCAAAGGATTATCACTGTGAAATATCAGGAAAGAGAAAATCCTAACAGTTTTCCATGGACGAACACCAGGATAGTTAAGTGCAGGGATAGAATGGATGGTGTAAGATATATATAAATAATAATAACAATATATAATATATTAAGGGTTTGCAAGGGTGGTAGGCTGGGCGAGGGAGGGACTAAAGAGGAGCTAATATCAAAGGGCTCAAGAAAAAAGATTATGTTTTGGAATTGTTGATGACAACATTTGAAGATGTCTGCTTGATATAATGGATTTATAGATTGTTACAATACATATAAAAGCCCCCAATAAAATGATTTATTAAAATAAAAAAATACACACACACACACACAAAAGAAAGCTAGGTTATATATAAGACTTGATAACTAAAATGACTACCAACTACTCAATAGCAACACTAAAACTCATAGTCACCATATAGGACAGAATAGAATTGTCCCTTTCTGTTTCTTTATAGTAGCAGAGAGCCTTAATTTTCTCCCATAGATTGGCTGGTGGGTTTGAACTGCTGACCTTGCTTTTAGCAGTCTAACACTTACCAGAATTGCCATCAGGGCTTCTAGGAGGCTAGAAAATATGGAACAACTCGTTCAAAAATCAGAGAGAAAATAAAGTTTTGGATAATTTGTGTGTGTGTGTGTGCGTGCGTGTGTGCACATGCATGTACATTTGTGTATCCCCAAACCGTGCAGTACTATAGGATTATGGGGGAATAATACTGAACAACAGAGGAAGCATCAAAAGTAGATAGATGGAATACAGTGTACTAAAAAGCACCGATGTCTACCTATTTTAGGAGAGGGAATATGATAAAGAACAAATACTTCTGAAGGAAGATGTCCAAGCAACATTGAAGGCACTGGTAAAAACCAAGGCTCTAAAAAATGCTGAAATACCAAGTCAGCTGTTTCAACAAATGGTTGCAATGCTGAGAGCGCTCACTTGTCATTGCCAAGGAATTTGGTAAACTACTGGACCTACTGATTACACGAAATCTTCGTTTGTGCCCCAAACAGAAATGCTTTACTTAGATGGAAATATGTAAATAGCAAATAGCAAACAAAACACAAAGCTAAAAGAGGTGTGGTTTCTGGGAAGCAGAAATAGAGTGGAGAGGAGGGAACTGCAACTTTATATAATGTTACCTATAGAAAGATTGGACTATGTTGACCAGGTATATATAAAGCTTTGGTAAAAACAAACAAATACAATTAAAATAAAAAAGAGTTAAAGAGACCTAAACCCTATCTACTATGACCTCAGAAAATGAGACTTAAAATCAATGCTTACAGTGGGTGTGTACACTCTTGAATATTGCACATTCTTCTAATAGGTTTTGGCTTTTTGTTGGCTTCACAGAAACTTCGATGAACCATCTTACTATCACTTTTCCTACGGCATCCATATTTGGTGTACTGGAAACCTGAAAAATGACATTTATTTCTTTATAGTTAATCAGCTATTCTGCAGCTATATATTTAGTAGCTAATTGATGCAACAAATATTTGGTTGTAGATGAGGACTTCAAAAGGTTCCTGAAATGGGATTAAAAGATACAACAAAAATACAGGTTTTATTTTTCAACATAAGCTCCATCAAGGTGAAGACACTTTTGTACAAGATGATTCTAATTAGTCCATCCCCAAGGAAAGGAAGGTCCTGAGAATGAAATCATGCAAATATAGTTTTTCTACGTTGTTATCTAAAGAAAAATGGTACCCTTTAAATATTTTTAAAGGTTAGAAAACAAAATGAAGTCAAAAGGAGCCAAATCATGATGATAAATTAGATGCTTACTGATTTCCCATGGAAACACCTGCGAAATTGTCTTTTTTGATGAGAGGAATGAGCAGGAATGTTTTAATGGTAGGCAAGAACTCTCGAGTGAATCTGTCCCAGGCATTTTTCTGCTAAAGCTTTCATAATACACAGATGTCATCATTCTTTGGCTTTCCAGAAATTTAACAAGTACCTTAAGCACCCCAAAACACTGCTGATCTTGAACAATCTGCTTTTGTTTGACTGGACAACTTTTACCTTTAATCATTGCTTTGATTAAGCATTATCTTTCGCGTCATACTGGTAAAGCTATGTTTCAACTCTTATTACAGTTCTTCAAAGAAATACTTCAGTATCTTGATCCCATATTTTCTACTGAAAGCTTTGCTCCTGTCTTTAGTTAATCTGTGCATAAATATTTTGGCACACTTCTAGCAGAAAGTATGCGCAACTTTAATTTTTCAGTCAGAGTTAGGTAAGCTGAACCAATTGAGATATTTAATGGTGCTTGAGATTGTTAGTTTATTGTGCCAGCCTGGCCAACAAACACAAGTGGGATTAATTGAAGGGCGGAGAGCTAAAGGGCTCGGCGAGCCTTGCCTTTCTTGTCTCTTGCTCTTTGATCATTGGACCAGTGTGCAGCTGCCTTGCTTGTTCTGTGCCTCAATTTACAGGCTACACTACCTGTGGGACGCCTAGCCTGTGGACTGTGTTGCTGTAAGTTGAGGTCTCTTTAAGACCACACGATTGAAATGTACATCTCTGGAGCTGGAGACTGACAGTTGGTGACCTGCCTGGCTGTTTTGCTGCTGGTGCTAGGGATAGCGTAGCTCTCTCTACAGAGGACTACCGGGTGGCCCTCAAGACTTGAAGGACTGCCAGTGTCTCACAACTGTCTCACAGGAGTGAGTTGCACTGAGCCATTTGTACAGCTTTATAATTTAACTGTTCATTTCTTGTGTTATATATATCTATCTTTATAAGAATATATGTGAAATTATCAGCAATCTGGTTTTATCTCTCTAGAGAACCCTGTCTAACACATTTTGGTACCAGAAGTGGGGTGGGTCAATTGTTTCTAAGGGCTCAATATCCTCCTCTTCTGGATCATCAGCCCATATGTTCCCGTCCCATGTTTCAGGGTCCCAACTTTTCCCAATCAATGCCCTTACTTTGGTTTCAGACACTGCTCTAGATCTGCAATTCAGCTGCCGTTGTAATTCAGCCACTCGTATAATGAGACTCTGGACCTGGTTCTCAGCAATGTCAGCTCTTTTATTAGAGGAGAGAAGGCTCTCCTTTGTAGCACAGATTGAAGCTTTCAAATCCGTTAGTCTGCACCTGAGGCGTGCTTTTGAGGCCCTGAGACCATCTCTCTCCTTAATCACACTTTCCATTGTAAGAAGGAGCAGCCAACCAGCTTGCCTATACTTGTCATCCTTACAAAACTCCTGGAAAATATCAAACATATGATCACTCAGAGCCACTCCTTTAACCAGCACCTCATCTATCGGTGGTACTACTTTAGGTATTATTTTTGCTATTCCACACCATGGATTAGGAAGAGTAGCAGACTTATCCATGCTTTGGGATGTTGAAGTAGCATCACTAGTATTAAGAATAATCAGGCTGAAGAGCCAATTTAAGAAGCCCATATTTATGATTTTATTTCTCTAGAAGCACTCCTGGTACCAAAATGTGTTAGACAGGGTTCTCTAGAGAGATAAAATCAGATTGCTATGGTTTCTGTTATGCATGGTTGATGATCTTCAATTAAGACAACAACAAAATTAAGCTTTTCCTCAAAAATTGACTGGACTGCTACAGCAGCCTTCCTCTTCAATATTGTCTCTTCCCTTCTTGATGTGAATTATTCATTTATTAACTGCCTTGAGGGGAAGTTTATTGCTCCATACATTTTTTATAAAGCATCAATGATTTCATCATTCTTCCACTCAAGCTTCATCATAAATTTGATGTCTGTTTTTACATTACTAGGGCTCCTTAGGGATTAGTTAATTAAAGGTTTGACCAGGAAAGCCCATCAATTATATTAAAAATATACAAATGGCCCTTGGCAGAAAAATGTTCTCTCTCCCTACAATTATTCTTATAAAGAGCAGATAGCCCCATCATTCTCTCATAGAGCAGCTATGGTGGGTTTGAGCCACTAACCGGGCAGTTGGCTGTCTAAAGTTTGCCTACCAGGACACGTTAAGTTCAACTAGTACTACACAAACAGCCCTGGAGATGTAGTGGTTACATGTTGAGCTGTGATCGGCATGGCCAGCAGTTTAAAATTAACTGCAGTTCCTGGGGAGAAAGCCTGGGCTTTCTACTCCTATAAACAGTTACAGCAGTGGTTCTCAACCTTCCTAATGCCATGACCCTTTCATACAGTTCCTCGTGTTATGGTGACACCATAATTTTGTTGCTGTTATGAATTGGGCAACCCCTATGGGAGAGTCATTTGGCCCCCAAAGGGGTCGCAGTCCACAGGTTGAGAACAACTGAGTTGAAGTCTTGGAAACCCATAGTGGGTCACAATGAGTCAGCATTGACTAGATGGCACTGCCTTGTTCTTTCTTTCTTTTTTGGGGTACTGGACAAAATAAATGGAGCAGGAAGGCACTTAAAGTCAAGGGCATGCCAAACAGCAGCTGCAGGTTTCTGGGGAAGAAGATAGGAAAGCATCAAATCTTGACAGAGTGACCACCTGGCAGGCATTTGGACATCATCCTAAAGGTTACAGTGAGTTAGCTGAAGAGATTTATTCCAATAACTAAGTTTGATACTCATGATTATGTTTGTATTTTTGCACTTATTTTGAAAAAAATTAAAACCTAAAAAAGTGACAAAAATAGTATAATAAGCATTGGTATATCCATGATCTATAGTTTCGTCTCTGATTACCATTTCACTACATTTACTTACTCTCGTCTGTTATATAGACAGTATTACTGTACTGAATCATTTGAGAGTAAGCTACAGACATCCTGATCCTTCCCTCTTCAGGACCTAAAGGTGTGCCTCCTTAACAGAAACATTCTCTTATGCACACACAATACTAAAACCAGAAAGTATTACAGATATGATGCTATGATCTGACATATACGGACAAAGAGTACTGCTCACACAGTTTCAGATCATGTAGGCCCACGTTTGTTAAAACAAACCATGGCTAAGCATGTCACTCTGAACATCAGATGGGTGTAGAAAAAGTTCCCCAAGTAATGCCTGTAGTTTTGTAAGGGTGTCTTCAAATAAAAGGCCCAATCAAAACAATGGCTTCTCAGGGGATCTGCTGGGCCAGTTCAATTCCAGGTACAGAGGTCAGCGCACACAATTATGGTGACTGTGGTACTTTTTGAATTCCAAAGGGGTAATCAATAGCTTTTATCCAAGGACACAGGAGGATCACAAGGGCTTATTATAAAGAAGACTTAAGAAAACTGAACAGCAGTGTTAGTGAGAACAGGGCCAGGAAAGCTGAGCTTAGCAATGATTTACCATCCCAACAACCCACCGCCTCCTTCTTGAGAGAAGGTAGGGCTATCTTGGGGAAATTTGGTGGGAAATCTGACTTCATACACCATACAGCCCTGATCCTGCCCACTTATTCTTAGAGTGTTTAAAGGAATACACTACAAATCTCTTACGGATTCCAGGACTGCCATTTTGACATGGTGTAAACCAAAGAATGCAGAATTGTTTGGAGAAAGGTTTTGAGATATAGAAATGCCACATTAAAAAGTATATAGACTTGTACAGAGGACATGTTGGCAATTTATATTATTCCCTAATAAAGGTTTCTATGATTTTTGTCATCTGCCAATTGGACATTCTGTGGTGGCTTGTGTGTTGCTGTGATGCTGGAAACTATGCCACTGGTTTATCAAAGTGCCGTGTTACCCACGGTCAGCAGGTTTCAGTAGAATTTCCAGAAAAAGAACAAACTAGAAGGAAAGACTAGGAGGACACCGGCCTATAGGGCCACCATGAGTTATAAGTGATTAAATGGCAGATTTTTTCTCTTGGTTACGGGACGGTGTGCAATCTATACAGAGACGACAACAAGCTGGATAGTGCAAAGCCAGAACACGGCCTGAGAAGAAGAGAAAATAAAAAAGAAAATTGAAAAAGCACATATATGGAAGATGTGAGGGCTACTTAGAATGTAAAAATTCTAAGACTTCTTAGCAATTTTCATAAATATGAAAAATTTTCATGAAAAATTCACAAATATTTTGAAGGCCTAAATTTTTCTTCATATACAATAAAATTTTCAGAATACATTGTAATGTATGTAAGTCGGTGGGTAACTTATGTTAAAGGTTTCAGAAGTGAGGTTGGCTCCAGGGTGCTTGATAATACAAACTAACCTTTCTCTTGAGAGTTCTGTGCACAAGTGGAGAGGTCATGCCATCTTATAAGAAGACTGGAGCATTTTCATCTTAATAAAGGAAACTGAACTCTGGCAAACCCATTTTGGGTTTCAGAACATCTGAACCTCAATTTAATGAACTGATGTCATCACCAGTCAGTTGATGATGACTCACAGTGACCCTATAGGACAGAGAAGATCGTCTCCTGCGGTTTCTGAGGCTTTACCTCTTAAGCGGAGTAGAAAAACCTCATCTTTCT